CGTTTCTTGCAGCATCATGGTGAGCAAGCAAAGTGGGGGAGTCAGGTGAAGGACATTGATTCTGCTGTTAAGTGATGGGTTCAAAGTCCGACACATTTTAGAGGGGAGCGGGCAGTTTAAGAAAGAACTCAACCCCCCGGGGAGGTCTGCCCTGGGGATCTGTTAACTGGCAGGTGTCCCAAACCAGTTACTGCTAAGGAAGGGCGGTCAATAGGGTCAGCAGATATCCTGCCCTCTGATCGCTGCTAAATTTAGAACGTGGTACCAATCTGCTAACTTTAAGTAATAGTAAGAGTTCCCATTATATTGCCGTCTTAATGCAGCTTGGAGGAAGTTAGGTGCTTTTATGCCTCCTTCGTAGTTAACTAAAAGCTAAAATTTTTCTGAGAAATGTACTATGCTCTAAGAAATTATTTCGTTTGCTTTTTGTGGGACTGTGAATTGCTTTGTAATACAAGGTTTGTCTTGCGGTTATCATGATAAAGCAACTCATTTTTTCCTGCACCAATCTGTCATATTTTCTCCAACAACAGACCAGCATGAGATTATCTCTCATTTTCTTATATGTGCATTCCATCAGACAATATCAATGACTGATACCATAAGTAGGGGAGCATATGATTATTTCATCAGTTATTGGATTCATTCCCTGTCTCGCTGCCATCAACTTGGTTCTGACTTTTTTTTTCTTGAAATCTCATTCTTTTTTGGGGGGGCGGGGGCGTTCTGACTCTTAAGAGACTCTAGAATAGGCTAGGACTGCCCCCGTGGGTTTCCGAGGATGCAAATCTTGAAGAGAGCAGAAAGCCTTATCTTTCTCACAAACAGCAAGTAGTGGGCGTGAAACTTGGACCTTGTGTTTAGCAGCCCAATTTATAACCCACTATGCCACCAGAGCTCCCTTTTAATTCATTAAATAAGGAAAGAATGGAATACATTCTTTTGCTTGGCACTATGCTGGAAACCAAGGAAACAAAGATGGATATGACTAACTCTGTGATGGGAGAAAGATTGAAGTAATTATAATACAGATTAATAACTTTGACAATGGAATAATGCACACTGGGTAAACAAAAGCAGGAGATACTGAAAGTTGTAGAGGAGGGACTGAAAGATGGTACTGTTTGAGCTGTTTGAATTTATGAATATGAATTTATGGGAAGTGGTGGGAAGAAATATGGAGCCCAGAGAATTTATAACAGAAAGAACAAAATACAAATGGACTTTTAGATACTTTTAAACTGCTAATAAATTTGAGAATAGCCAGTATCTATTTGTTATTTTCCATTGGGTACTTAAATTTCTTGCTCTTAGATCTCTATAACAAAATACTGTGGTATAGGGTCATTGTAACTTGGAATTGACTCTATAGCTGTAAGTTTGGTTGAATTTTTTTTTGAGTGGTCCATGAGTCATTTGCTTTTATGGCACCTGGAGTGCTTGCTGAAAACTGCAGGTTCCTGATTCAGGACCTCTAGCAAGATGGAAAAGTAGGCAGGCACACTCCCCAGACTTCTACAGCACAGACATGAGACACAAAATGACAAAGGTACAGATGATAATCCTGGAATACTAAGCTTCATAAGAAAGACTAGACAAGTGGACTATTGACTAGTAATAAAAATAGTGAAAGAGGAGATAGAATAGGTGAATTGTCAACTGACTGACACTGTGAGGCCAATTTGAACTTTTGCAAATAGAGTTCTGTCTAGATAGCAAACTAATACTCTGTTCTGCCCCATCAGAACAGCATATGCATGAGCATTCATGGCTAGTGACCGGAAAAGTGTATTCCATTGTTCGCCACTCCTTCCTTGTGACCAGAAGCATGGCCAGCCCCTCC